GTTTAGCTAAGCTTGCTGATTTGAAGCAAGTCCTTCGCGTCCGTGGCGGAAATACCTTCCGTGGAGATGAAACCTGCCGTGGACGAGATGTTCCCCGAGGGCGCGGGACCCTACGTGGACCTGGACGAGGTGGGTAAACAACACGGACATGCTAATTGCTAATTGCTAACCGGCTTGCACCTGTGACGGAAATGTCTGGAAAACATGAACAGTTAGCTCGGTTTAAGGACGGTTTGGCCTCTTTATAGACGTAAACGGGATAGTTTGAGGTGTCATGTTAGGAAATAAAATAAAAAAAGACGTTTTCTGTGGGTAGGATTTTAGCTCATGTTAGCATTAGCATCTGTGCCAAAGTGTCAATTCTAAACTTAGCAACGAATATTCCAACGATTTTAATTTTATGTTTCCTCCTATAACGTTTTCTGGTCTTTATTAGGCATGAGAAAATATTTTAACGTGCTTTTATCAAATTAAAACTTTAAAAATTGGTTTAAAGTAGGTAACTTTAGACAACACTGTTAATGTGTGTATACATATGCTTCTTTGTCTTTTAACTGTTTATCAAGATAGCCGCAGTTTTGAGGGAATGATTCTTGTTTTAACTTAGTGTATCTACTTTTCAGGTTTTCCTAATTGATTGTTGCCTTTGGTAGCATTTTTTAAAATCTTCCAATCTTCTCCTGGTGTTATTTGACCACATTAGGAGTTTGTTTATTCTCAGAAAAGTTGCACAAGGCCCCGGACCTTCTTCAACCATCCTGTTGTGTTACAATAAATGAGTCTGAATAGCAGTTTTTGTGTTATACTGGTGCCTTTCAGTAGGGAGAGATCTCATGCTTGTGTATCCAGGCATGTTTTGGCTGTGTGTGGATCTGATTCTCCAGAGAGTTCATGTGTGAAACTATTATCGGGGTTATTACACGTAGCATAATCCAGAGTTTCCCAGCCCTGGTCCTTTTTAAAAAGCTGAAGGGATCCGGTCTTATTTGAGCCTTATTGGAGCCTTATTCGGTTGAATAAGATGAGCTTGAGCTGGGAAACTTGGGAAACGATCCGGACCAGGGAAGGGAAACCAGGTTTAGGTTCAACTGGGTTCCTAATTGAACTGTAATGTGTTGTGTTGACAGGCAGGGGGCAGCAGCGGGCTGCTGATGGACCTGGCAGCCAATGAGAAAGCGGTACACTCGGACTTCTTCAACGGTGAGATTTCTCCTCTCTATCAATTTAAAAAAAAAAAGAAATAAAAAGCCTTTTACAGGTGGACTTCCGGCTGATTTAACATTTGACATGAAACCTGTTTTTTTATGACTTGAACTTTATTTAGGTTTTAACAAAATAAAACATACAAAGTATACCATGTTGCACATCATACCAATTGGGTATGCAAGCACTGAAAACAGACAATATAAAACAAAACAAATCATAAAAGAAAAACAAGAAAGATGCCAACAATACACTTAGCCAAGGTTACAGCAGACATTACAGATTAAGGTTGATCTGAGCTGGAAACGTCATTGACCCGAATAGGAAAAGTAGGGGGCCCATTTGTCATTATAATCATCTATTCCAGTTTTTTTCAACCTTTTTTGAGCCAAGGTACAGTTTTTCATTGAAAAAATCTCGAGGCACACCACCATCCAAAAATGTTAAACAAATCTGTAGCCGCCTATAGTAACACTATAGTTATTCTTATTTTATTCTTATCTTATCTTAAGTGTCTTGAATAGGAATCAAATAAACACAAACATTTATTTTTACCATATTTTATATTTCTTCTCTCAAATTGCACTTAACATGTCCACTTCAATATACAGAATTATATACAAAATCTAGTCATAAGGAATTATTACATGATTACGCCACCAGTCACTACAACAGCACAGACACTCAAAAATGGCATATTATTTGCAGAAAATTATCAAAAAAAGTCTTTTTAGACCAATTAGGTGAAATAGGATGATTTTCTAAGGCACACCTGACCATCACTCACACCACACTAGTGTACCGAGGCACAGTGGTTGAAAAACACTGATCTACTCTCTTTAACAGTCTGTATGATAATCTTTCAAATGCTGCCAGTTGTCCAAGTGAGGTGTGCCAACATGAAACCTGGTTAACTTCCACAATCCA